GCCATATACCCCACCCCCCAGGGCTTATTTCTTAAGTATAACTTGCACTACTTGCAATATGTTTTATATGTTAGTGTTCTTGTAATAACATTTATATTGGGGAAAACATCCGGTGGCTTGAAAGTAGGCCTTGGAGAACATAAATCCACTATTAGATGTCAAGATATCACTTCAACAGTTGCGAGACACTTTATAGAACAAAATAATTATGTCAATGAATTTCCTTGCGTCAGGATCGAAAACATTTATCCACCACATAGAGGAGGTGACTATGACAACACATTACTCCAAAGAGAAGACATGTGGATATATCAATTCAATTCTGTATCTCCACACGGTTTAAACAAATAATTAGATTTCACTTCCTTCCTATAAGCCATATCAGATTTTGGATATTGTTTGAGTTGGCTCCACATATTTATGAACGGCTGTGCCTGGTGTCCTTTGTGGTGGGCTATCTCATGAATTGATATGATGTATTTAGGTGAGCGGACACCTGGGACGGTTGATTTGTCAGTTGCCCTGCATGCCCGCTCCCATACATACAGAATTATAGGGTATTTGTGACTAATTTGTATACAGATAGACCAGAAAAGCCACATCCCTGATTGGCAGATGAGTGGCAACCCTGAAGCACCTGCTGCTCATCCGTTGTTCTTTACAAATGCTGTTTTGAATTAAAATAAAATGTTACTTACAAACTGAAGAAGGCTGTAAAGCCAAAACGTCTGTGTACGCTATCCCTGATGCAGTGAAAATAATAATAATAACATTGAATGATTAAGTAAGCTGTAAGCGACATCTTTTTGAGTGCGAACCCATTGCACCCTTTTGTTCATATAGACCCCAGTACCCATGAAATAACACCATATATAGATTGTACAGACCCTATGACAACATAGCTCAGGCAGGAGGAAGCGCTCTCGCCTATTTATATTCAGATGTTACAGTCTTATACTCAGCTGGCCCCTCCCGGATTTTGTGTTAAACGCTCTACAACAAGTTTTCTTAGTGTCCAACAAGCTTTATCTGCCCTTAACCTTCTCTCAGCACATATCCATGCCAGGGCCGGTCCCCAGAACGAATCAGTTGGACGGGCATTTGATTTCTATAGGCGGGCCAGTTGAGAACAAGTTCTCATTTACAAATGCGACCTGGCCAAAATAAAGCAAAGCAGTGCGATAAAAAACAACAACACAGAGTTACATATGGGGTAAAACAAAACGTACAGTCAATAACCCAATAGAAAATCTATATACAGTGTGTGCAAATGTAGTAAGTTATGGAGGTAAGGCAATAAATAAGCCATAGTGCAAAATAATTACAATTTAGTATTAACACTGGAATGATAGATGTGCAGAAGATGATGTGCAAATAGAGATACTGGGGTGCAAATTAGAAAAATAAATAACAATATGGGGATGAGGTAGTTGGGTGGGCTAATTACAGATGGGCTGTGAACAGGTGCAGTGATTGGTAAGGTGCTCTGACAACTGATGCTTAAAGTTAGTGAGGGAGATAAGAGTCACCAGCTTCAGAAATTTTTGCAGTTCGTTCCAGTCATTGGCAGCAGAGAACTGGAAGGAATGGTGGCCAAAAGAGGTGTTGGCTTTGGGGATGACCAGTGAGATATACCTGCTGGAGCGCAGACTATGGTTGGGTGTTGCTATGGTGACCAATGAGCTAAGATAAGGCAGGGATTTGCCTAGCAGTGATTTATAGATGACCTGGAGCCAGTGGGTTTGGCGACGAATATGTAGTGAGGGCCAGCCAACGAGAGCGTACAGGTCACAATGGTGGGTAGTATATGGGGCTTTGGTGACAAAACGGATGGCACTGTGATAGACTACATCCAATTTGCTGAGTAGAGTGTTGGAGGCTATTTTGTAAATGACATCGCCGAAGTCAAGGATCGGTAGGATAGTCAGTTTTACGAGGGCATGTTTGGCAGCATGAGTGAAGGAGGCTTTGTTTTTGCTAAATAGGAAGCCGATTCTAGATTTAACTTTGGATTGGAGATGCTCAATTTGAGTCTGGAAGGAGAGTTTACGGTCTAACCAGACACCTAGGTATTTGTAGTTGTCCGCATATTCTAAGTCAGACCCGCCGAGAGTAGTGATTCTAGTCGGGCGGGCGGGTGCAAGCAGCGTTCGATTGAAGAGCATGCATTTAGTTTTACTAGTGTTTAAGAGCAGTTGGAGGCTACATAAGGAGTGCTGTATGGCAATGAAGCTCGTTTGGAGGTTTGTTAACACAGTTTACAATGAAGGGCCAGATGTATACAAAATGGTGTCCTCTGCGTAGAGTTGGATCTGAGAGTCACCAGCAGCAAGAGCGACATCATTGATATACACAGAGAATAGAGTCGGCCCGAGAATTGAACCCTGTGGCACCCCCATAGAGACTGCCAGAGGTCCAGACAACAGCCCCTCCGATTTGACACACTGAACTCTATCTGAGAAGTAGTTGGTGTACCAGGCGAGGCAGTCATTTGAGAAACCAAGGCTATTTAGTCTGCCAATAAGAATGCGTTGATTGACGGAATCGAAAGCCTTGGCCAGGTCGATGAAGACGGCTGCACAGTACTGTCTTTTATTGACTGCGGTTAAAACATCGTTTAGGACCTTGAACGTGGCTGAGGTGCACCCATGACCAGCTCGGAAACCAGATTGCATGGCGGAGAAGGTACGGTGGGATTCGAAATGGTCGGTGATCTGTTTGTTAACTTGGCTTTCAAATACTTTCGAAAGGGAGGGCAGGATGGATATAGGTCTGTAACAGTTTGGATCTAGAGTGTCACCCCCTTTGAAGAGGGGGATGACCGTGGCAGCTTTCCAATCTCCGGGGATCTCAGATGATATGAACAGGCTGGTAATAGGGGTTGGGACAATTTCGGTGGCTAATTTTATTAAGAAAGGGTCCAGATTGTCTAGCCCAGCTGATTTGTAGGGGTCCAGATTTTGCAGCTCTTTCAGAACATCAGCTATCTGAATTTTGGTGAAGGAGAAGCAGGGGGGGGGGGGCATGGGCAAGTTACAGCGGAGGGTGCAGAGCTGGTGGCCGGGGTAGGGGTAGCCAAGTGGAAAGCATGGCCAGCCGTAGCAAAATGCTTGTTGAAATGTTCGATTATAGTGACAGTGTTTCCTAGCCTCAGTGCGGTGGGCAGCTGGGAGGAGGTGCTCTTATTCTCCATGGACTTTACAGTGTCCCAAAACATTTTGGAGTTAGTGCTACAGGATGCAAATTTATGTTTGAAAAAGCTAGCCTTTGCTTTCCTAACTGATTGTGTATATTGGTTCCTGACTTCCCTGAAAAGTTGCATATCACGGGGGCTGTTCGATGCTAATGCAGTAGGCTATATCTGTTCTTATTTAAGATGGAGAGGAAAGCACTTTTAAAGAACAACCAGTTATCCTCTACTGATGGAATGAGGTCAATATTTTACATTTACATTTTAGTCATTTAGCAGGCGCTCTTATCCAGAGCGACTTACAGTTAGTGAGTGCATACATTTTCATACTCCATCCAGGATACCCGGGCCAGGTCAATTAGAAAGGCCTTCTCGCTGAAGTGTTTTAAGGAGGATAATGGATGTTATATTAAAGACCATAGGCAGCTTGTGAGTTTCAAGTTTGGGGAAGCTTACAATTTATCCTACAATTTTTACCTGTCTGCATGGCAGTTATGATTATTTTTATATGCGCATTTTCGTGGAACAGTTTCATTTTAATAATAACGTTTTCGTTACAAAAAATATTGTCACTTGGTTAATCATAAAAATCTGAATTAAAATGTTTTGTTTTTTTTAAAGTTAAAATTCAACTAATGCAACAGCACCAGCCTTTGCCATATGGACACATTGATACACCTTGATCCATTGGTGGCTAAAGAAATTAGAGCATGGAACTCAGAGATAGGCCAATGCAGCAGTAGGCCTATAACTTCCATCATCAACTAAGTAAATGATGGTTATGAAATAAACCAAAACGTATTTCTCACAAGTGTAGCAGGTCGTGAACTCTGCAAACAACGTTTCCACTCCAAGAACGAGAACGGTAAATGACTGTAATACATGCATTAACGGAAATGAATGTAACCAAATGATGGGGATTAACGGTACATTTACTAGGCCTACTGGTTACATATGTAATGGGGAACTGATAAAAATAAATAATCAAAAGGCAAACAATTCACACAATGAAACAATGAATTGGCAGGAGACAGTGGAGCACATTCTGGAGAGCTGAGTGCATGCATTCTGGACAGAGACGCACATATCTTCGCCACACACCTCTCCCCTCCTTCTTGTCTCAACACTTTAAATTATACTCAAGACACATTATCTTCACACGCCGCAAGATATTCTTTACCAGATTCGGTGTCTCTCTCGTCTTGATGTGTGTTTTGTCCTACATTTCTATTTTAATCCCAACCCTGGTCCCCGCATTAGGCCTTTTGCCTCTTGGTTGGCTGTCATTGTAAATACGAATTTGTTCTTAATTGACTTGCCTAGTTAAATCAAGGTTCACTAAATGTTAAACAAAAATAGTGATTAATCCCAACCCCACTTTTACTTCGGCACCTAGAATAGTTTTCTCTATAAACTAATATGTAATTTATAGGCCTATAGTTTATTACATTAATGGTGTGGGTGGAGTAGAAAGTGTTGCTGGGCATATAGACCTCAGTCCCCCATGAAGTAACACCATATACAGATTCTACAGACCCTAGTGAGTAATCTTAACCCCACTTTTACTTCGGCACCTAGAATCGTTTTCTCTCTATAAGAGTCTTGCATTGGGGGCATTTATTTGACCTTGGAACATGTTTTAAAAGCCACATTTAATGCAAATGTCACTTAAATATGAACAAATATGAATCATTATTAATGTGTAGACAATGTTCCATATATAATGAATAAACACAGGTTAATTACACTTTCATACTATTACGTGGGGGGCTTTTATTTGGAAAATTTTCCGAAATTCGGTGACCCGGAAGTTATTTTTGAGTGTTGTTGACGACACGCTGATAACCAGGAGTACGGTGAAAGTAACTTTAGCTAGCTGGTATTTAGAATTTTTGAAATGTCTAACGCCACACCCGTGACCAAGCCTTCAAACAAAGAGAACCCCCGTGTCTTCTTTGATGTAGACATTGGTGGTGAAAGAGGTTAGGATATTTTCAATAAAGGGCTTTAAGTCATTCAACTGGACCCGCTAGGCTAATGGCTAGCTAGCAGCACCGGGTGGTTTCTAGAAAAAGCATTCATGCTAGCTATCATGGTCTTACATTGTTAACGTTACAGCGACCAATTAAAGTAAATATTTGCAATTCGCATGCTGTTTTGAACCATTTAGCTGCTTGTATTGTTAGTTTTACTGTCTGAATTTAACCAGTTAGTCTACTTTGTTACTATTCATTCCATTCGCTTGATACATTACGTTCGAAGTAACAAGCACGTGCTGTCATGTCTTTCATAAAAGGTCAACACACCAGTATCTACCAGATTAGCTAGTTCAGGACTAAAAGGCTTATTTTATGAGTTACTACATATACTTTGAAATTGCATTTATAAAGACCAGCTATCCACACAATGTCATGCTATATCTATATTTTGTTTGTCACCAGTTGGCCGAATCGTGTTCGAACTGTTTGCTGATGTTGTCCCCAAAACTGCTGAAAACTTTCGAGCACTCTGTACTGGTGAGAAGGGAACTGGCAAAACCACCGGGAAACCACTCCATTTCAAAGGATGTCCTTTTCACAGGAGTAAGTATACTGGATTTCCACTGTTTGTTAGCCAGCAGATCTTACCTGCTTGCTTACAGCTGGACTAGGGTCTATTTATCAAAGTCTTGTGAACAGCAAGCAGCGACAGCATAATTTTCAAATTAATTTCCAATGGTATTGTACTTAATCAGGTAAAAAATGCTGAATGAGTCCAAACACGTGCTGTGATTTATTTATTTTGATGATATACCAGAAATCACCTAAACTGGTTTGCCCTGCCTACACATAGCTATATATAGATCACATCAATAATGCAGTAATACATACATTTTATGGTAACAAACTGCAGTAAGATAGATAATGACCTCAAACATGTACGCTGTCAATCAATTTAAGTCATCAAGCAGTTCATGATCCAGGGAGGAGATTTCTCCAACCAGAACGGCACTGGAGGAGAGAGCATCTATGGGGAGAAGTTTGAAGATGAGAACTTCCATTACAAGGTAAGGATTTTCATAATGGCACGGCATAACATATAGGAGATTTTCCTGACCAGTATAAAGTCTGGGCTTTAGTTATAGGAAAAACTCCTGGCCCTTATCATCACCTTAGCATTTCTGTTTTCTTGGTCATCATTGAATTAACATGTGGGTGTCTGTCTCCTCTCCAGCACGACAAAGACGGCTTGCTGAGTATGGCCAATTCTGGACCCGCCACCAATGGCTCCCAGTTCTTCATCACCACTGTGCCCACTGCTCATCTAGATGGCAAACACGTTGTCTTTGGACAAGTCTTGAAGGGGATGGGGCTGGTGAAAACACTGGAGGCCATAGAGACCAACGAGGACACACCTCTCAAGGTAAATCAATGAAAGGAACTACCACTCTATTGCCACATTCAATAACATTCAGTAGCAGGAGTTTGGTGTAATGTGTGTGTGATGACATTGTCTTCAGAGGTTGTATTGGTACATTAACGCAGCAGCAAGCTGTATGTTTTGCCTTGCAGCAGGTAGATGACCTAGTATTTTTCTGTAGTGTGTGACACTTGTGAAATGCGCATCATGCATTTACAGTTCTGCTCTGATTCTTTCCCCACAGCCATGTGTAATTGCTGAGTGTGGTGAGCATAAAGATGGAGACGACTGGGGATTAGCACCGAACGATGGCTCAGGGGACACCCATCCAGACTACCCAGAGGACTCCGACGTTGATTTAAAAGATGTTAGTAGGACTACCACATTTTTTTCTCTGAAGATACTCCTGCTACCTCTCTGTTTCTGCCCCTATGCCTGATATGATCAAACTAGCAGATGGTATTATAGCACTGAGTGGTGTGGTCTCATTTCATGAAGTCGACAGTTTTATGTTTTTCCAGCTTTAAAACACATTACCGGCCTCTGTTATGGGAAGTCTAAACTGAATTAGACAGTAAGTCCCTGACTTTCTAGTTTTTAGAGTTTTCCATATTTTGGAGTGGTGGGCCGCCACTGCTAAATTCATATAGGGGAAACACTGATTGCACCTGTACTACCATTACTGTACCTCAATTCCACCTCGCATTTGCATTTCCTTCTCATTTAACTTCTCAAAGTATTTCCATACAGGACTTCGCTGCTGTCGCTTGTCTTTCTCTGCCATTTTCCCAAATGTTAACGACAATAACGTAGTGGTGGAGAGTCGACTCCAAATTCTGAGTGTCAAAATTCTATTCCGATAGGAATCGACTACTAAGATTCAGTATTTTTGGAACGGAGGAGAATGATTAGTTGCCGAGAACACAAACACTCACATATTTTATAACGAGCTAGCGAGGGACGGAGAGAGGGGGGAGGGGCACAGTATATGCAGGTCGGCCACCAGCCAGACAGTCAGAACCGTGCACTAGGCCTATCTGTCGGCAATTAAAAGCTGTATCTTGCAATGGAATGCTGCATTTCGCAATGTCTTGGCTTGCAATGTCTCGCAACTTCAGTAAAGCAGGGCCTATCATTAATGAATAGGGTAGGATGTTCTACACGCAACAGACCGAAGACTGAACACACACTGGCATCATTAGCAAAGAGAGAGAGAGCAGGCGAGCCAGTGCGAGGGAGAGAGGAGGGGGCAGGCTGAAAGAACCATACGCATATGTCTTGGTAATCTGTATCTCGCAATGTCTTGTCTTGCATGTCTCGCAAATTCACAAAAATGTGCCTAAAGTTCTCCTCTTCGTCTCTGGTTCTATTTAAATTAAACAACTTTCCCCAGGCCTTTATAGTCTATTGTCTAGTTAGGCTATAACAAGGAAAATAATATGCTTTGTGATAACTGCACTGTGATTTGTGGTTAGGGGTGTTTCTTAACGATAAGGATCCCAATTTCGTTTAAATGTTCACACCCCTAATATGTGGATGGATTTAGTCTGTCAAATTGAAAAGTGTCATGAACTATGCATTGCAGTGATTGTGAAATGCTGACGCTGCACTGATTGTGAAAATAGCATAAAAGTATTTTTGGTTAGGTTGACAAAGTCCTGTCTGTTGCTGAGGATATTAAGAATATTGGGAACAACTTCTTCAAGAACCAAGACTGGCAGTCTGCAATCCAGAAGTACTCCAAAGCTCTCAGGTGAAACATTGTCCAGGGCTCACTCCACTCTCACTGTGACTTACAGTATGTGTGTGTATTAGGCCTGCTTGTGTAACAGCATGACATGCATTTGAATGCGCAATGATCATAGGAGTTGGCCAAATGGCACAAACAGATCTGGGACCAGCCTAGCAAAGGACTAAATGGTGAAACGTGTCTCTTGCCAGGTATCTGGCGGTTGGCGGAGACGAGCAGGAGATTGAGAAAGCCCAGGCGAAGCTGGAGCCCACGGCGGTGAGCTGCATTCTCAACACCGCTGCCTGTAAACTGAAAATGCAGCTCTGGCAGGAAGCCATGGACAGCTGCGACGAGGTAAGTATTTTAGGCCAATATGGAGGCATTGAACAGTCAGTCCTGTGCAGACTCTGCCACCAGGAAACAGAATCAATAGAGCATTTTTTTCTGGAACTGTCCATTAGTGGCTAATTTTTGGAGTCAGGTCCAGGAATGGTTATGTCACAATATCAGGGTTCAGATGGACCTACAAACTGTGTTGTTCAGGGATGCGAAAAACCACAATCAGTCAATGGGAAATATCGTTATACTCTTGGGTAAAGTATTTATTTTTAGGGCAATATCTGTAGAAATTTTACATTTTAGTCATTTAGCAGACGCTCTTATCCAGAGACGCTCTTATACAGTTAGCGAGTGCATACATTTTCATACTGGCCCCCCGTGGGAAACGAACCCACAACCTTGGCGTTGCAAGCGCCATGCTCTACCAACTGAGCTACAGGGGACTATCTTGGTCAACCAACAGCATATCGACCAGTCTAATAATTGGGGTCAGACCTACTCAATCATGGGATTTTTTTTTTTTTAAATAAGGGGGATTAGAAATGATGCAAACAATTTAAATTGAAAGAAAAAGTATTTTAGGCCAGCCGAAATCCTAGAAGCCAGCCCTATCACGCTCCCACCACTAAGCTACGGTACAACTGTTTAATAATTGCAAAGATTCAAAGGCCATTCGTGGTCAGTACTATAGAAGTATGGAACTGATTGTGAATGCAACTAAGGATTTGTTTTCGTAGAGTACTGTAATATTTCTAGTTACATTTGTAGATATACATTCTTATTCAGTGTTAGAAAGGGAAAAAAAACACAGAAGTGCAGAACAGTCACTATTTAGTCTGTGTGTTTGTTTTTCAGGCACTGGAGTTGAACCAGAAAAACACTAAAGCTCTGTTCAGGAGGGCCCAGGCCTGGCAGGGACTGAAGGAGTACAGTAAAGCCATGGTAAAGAAAAAAGTTGATATACACTGTTATCATACTAACCATATATCTGACTTCAGAATGTGTAGCCTTGGTCCCAGCCTAACAAAAATGTGCTCTCTTTCTGGACTGGAACCTATGGTACAAGGATATTTTCCCCCACTGATTAGAATTCATATGGGTTATTTGCACTAAAACATGCCATCAAAAGAGTTGGGGCGAATCGATTCTTAACACTAGAATCCTTAATTGAAACAATAACAAAATGGTCACTCCACCTGTGTATTGATAAAAAGCTGAGGGATGTGCCTGGAGAAATGTAACCACTCAAATGCATAGAGAGGGCTATGGATTTAAGGACTGACCATCCATGATATCAACATTATCATTTTAACCACGTTCTGAAGCGATACAGTGTTTTACATTGTTTACAAACATTGGCATAAAACAAGCATGTATTTTGGGTTCTAATGGGGTACGACAGTTGAACTAAGCTCATGAGGCATTTATAAATTATATTCTTCAAGAATGAAATGGGTATATATATCATTAATTTATACGTCCAAAAATGGATGTAGCAACTGAGGATTCCAGCTTTAAATCCAGAATTGGAGGAAGTGTTCAATAACTGGCTCATTGGAGTTTGACTTGTCTGTCGACTCACTGAAATGTTTCTCACCTTTTGCCATTAGAGTGATCTGAAGAAAGCTCAAGAAATAGCACCAGAGGACAAAGGTTGGTACTGCTTCTTTACGGTAACAATCAATCCAGCGGATCATGTGTCCTTATGGCTGCATTTACACAAGCAGCCCAAGTCTAATCTATTGCCCAATTAGTGGAAAAAATATTAGAATTGGGCTGCCTGTGTAAATTTAGCCATGTGTTCTTTTCAATATTCTAAAGGCTAACTATAACTGAGAATAAATGGTCCATAGTGAGAGCAGTATGATGCTCATCAAAATAACTTATTTACAAAACCCCTTCATGACATAATGTGCAACATAGATTTGCTAATTTTGTCGTGATAGGTTGTTTTCCTTGCCTGACAAGTGAATTTACTTGTTCATCCTTTGACAGCGATCGGAAACGAGATGAAGAGAGTCCAGTTGAAAGTGAAGGAGGAAAAGGAGAAAGAGAAGCAAATCTATGCAAAAATGTTTGCATGAAGATCATCAGACAATCATTTGATATAGGCCTACCCTTGATGTCCACTCGCCAGTAATTAGTTATTTCTGTAAGGCAGCTAGCTACAATACAGGTCCCAATTGAAAACCATCGCTGTATAATATTGGCTGTTGTTGGAAGTTCCTTTTATGTTTTATGAGTGGCACATAAGGGTAGCCGAAAATGAAGTGTGGGTAAAGAGGAAGCTCAACCCTGTCTGCATTTTACTATTCGTTTATTTGGAGGGTTGTTCTGTCAATGATACTCATGTTTACAAAGAACTACTGTAATATCCCTTTGTCTGAATGTTTAAGATAAGCCATAAGATGAAATGTGGTTGGTTAGTTAAGACTCAAATTCTGGACTTTGCCTACTCCACCTGTATGCAGTGCAATTAAATTCTACCTGTACGTTCAATGAGAGTTGTGATTTGTGGATTAAGTTGACACAGAGGCATGGCAAATGTTTATTCACCAACACATTTTTCCCACTAATGACTATGTACAGTATCTCTCAGATCATACACTGTTGTTGCTAATGGTACCTGCAATAGCTAATAAATGTAGGCACAGATTCAAGTGTGGGTTGTTAGTCAATGCAGCTTTTTCTGCTCATGGCATACACATCTAAAATACTTTTTAGTAGCATTATTCTTTCAGAAAACTGTACATGTTATATGCCCATATTGAAAGAATATGGTGACAATCAGTTTCATATCTAGGCACACAGTATCGGATTCTAAAAGCTGTCTTGGCAGCAAGCCCTGAATGTGTTTTTGCAGCCATCTCCACGGAGAGGGTCTGTATCGTTTTTCTGATCTCACTGCTACAATTGGTGCCTCATGATATGCCTGGAAAAGAAAATCACATTCCGTTGTAGGCTGGTCCTCCACTGCCTTCGGGCACTACCCAGTTGATGTTCTGGCTGGGGTCCTTGATGTCACACGTCTTGCAGTGGACGCAGTTCTGAGCGTTGATCTGCAACCTCATACCTTCTCCAGTCTCAAGGGGAACGTACTCGTATACACCTAGTCAAATCAAATTGTATTGGTCACATACACATTTAGCAGGGGGGAAAGAAGGGCGTCATTTAAGGGGAATGGAAACTCTTAGGAAGTAAAGAGATGTATTCAATCCACTGTAAATTTAACAAACATCTGTATTTTTTGGATTTTGTTATTCAACCAAATTCAATAGAGGTATGGGTAGTGCCATCTTGAATTGCCATAGTAACATTGACGCCAATGCATCATTGGCAGGTTTGAGCAAATTGTGAGTTTTGGCAAGGGACTGAAAGTGAGCGTTGCCACTGGGAGGCTCCTTGACTTCACTGGACCTGAAAGGGTTCTCCTACCTTTGACAGCTTTGTAATTGAGATCAGGACAACAATATTAAGGTAAGTAACTGTATACAATTCATTTTGGTTGGTTATTATAATATTTTTTCCGATTGATAAGATGATTCTGTGAAATGAACTTCTGATAACCAGAGTAGTAGGCAGTCAGCCAAAACGAGGCAAGGTAGCTAACGTTACTGTAGCTATCTACTTGATTTAGCGCTCGTCTTTATGTTGTCGTCTTTGATAAGTGTACAAAATAAAATGCTCATAGTCCAATTGAAGAGCATTTGTCATTGCTATTAGCTAAGAGCTAAAATGAACTGGCTAATGTCTAATTCTACAGTAGCTTGCCAGATTCTAGCTTGCCAGCCACAAGAGAAGGCTCCTGTAGGATTGGTATTTTACGAGTAAAGTATGATACCCATATCATTATTTGTCATCTAGATAGCTAACTAGCTACATATTAGCCTAAGCCGAACCCTTATGGCTAGCTAATTGCTATAACTTCTGAACGCTCAGGCTGGTAGTCACTTTCATAACTAGCCTAAATCTTCCTGGTCTACCTGGTAACAATCAATAAATTATTATTGTTATGTACTATTAGGCCTATATACTGTATATTGTCTTTAGGACACTGGTCGACTGAGGAGGAGGACGGTGTAGACATGTCACCTGTGCACCAGGCAGTCAATAGAAGCTGTCCAAGGTGTCAAGGACAGATAGGGGCTGGAGAGACTGGACAACATGCTGCTGAGGCTGCAGACACACCCTCGCAGCCAAGGTGAACATCAATGTACTGGAGGAATACTCTAGAAATTGTTACAGGAAAGATAGAAAATAGCATATGACGTGGATGTTTGTGTTGCACCAGAATGCAAGGCCAAGCAGTTATGCATTATAGGGGACCAACATTGTTTTAGATTGTGGTACTCCAGTAAATGTGACTCATTGCAGACATAGGCACTAGTCTTCACCCAGTAGCTCAGTTTGTCACTGGTCATTTAGCCTCCCTTGCATGCTTTTAATTTGTTCCCATTCTGACTCTGTATTAGGCTATAGCCCTAGTGGAATGTATGTACAGAATACATTTAAGTTGTAAACTGCAATTATTATTACAGTGCCTACAGAAAGTTTTCAGACCTCTTAACTTCAGTGTTCGGTTACAGCCTTATTCTAAAATTGATTACATTTTTCATCAGGTTTTCATCAAGCATCTCCCTGTACTTTCCTCCATTCATCTTTGCCTCAATCCTGACTAGTCTCCCAGTCCTTGCCGTTGAAAAACATCCCCACAGAATGATGCTGCCACCACCATGCTTCACTGTAGGGATGGTGCCAGGTTTCATCCAGATGTAACGCTTGGCATTCGGGCCAAAGAGTTCAATCTAGGTTACATCAAACCAGAGAATCTTGTTTCATGGTCAGAGTCTTTAGGTGCCTTTTGGCAAATTCCAAGCAGGCTGTCATGTGCCTTTTACTGAGGAGTGGCTTCCGTCTGGCCACTCTACCATAAAGGCCTAATTGGTGGACTGCTGCAGAGATGGTTGTCTTTCTAGAAGGTTCTCCCATCTCCACAGAGGAACTCTAGAGTTCTGTCAGAGTGACCATCAGGTTCTTGGTCACCTCCCTGACCAAGGCCCTTCTCCCCTCAGTTTGGCTGAGTGGCCAGCTCTATGAATCATCTTGGTGGGTCCAAACTTCTTCCATTTAAGAATGATGGAGGCCACTGTGTTCTTGGGGACGTTCAATGCTGCAGAAATGTTTTGGTACCCTTCCCCAGATCTGTGCCTCGACACAATCCTGTCTCGGAGCTCTACGGACAATTCCTTCGACCTCATGGCTTGGTTTTTGCTCTGACATGCACTGTCAACTGTGGGACCTTATATAGACAGGTGTGCCTTTCCAAATCATGTCCAATCAATTCAATTTACCACAGGTGGACTCCAAGTTGTAGAAACATCTCAAGGATGATCAATGGAAACAGGATGCACCTGAGCTCAATTTCGAGTCTCACAGCAAAGGGTCTGAATACTTATGCAAATAAGGTATGTTTTTTTTTATTAATTTTTTTATAAATGTGCAAAAATGTCTAAAAAACCTGTTTTCACTTTGTCATTATGGGGTATTGTGTGTAGATTGGTGAATAAATTGTTTTATTTAATCCATTTTAGAATAAGGCTGTAACGTAATGTGGGAAATTATTCTCTTATTTTAGATGTGCTGTTAGCTTAATAAGAAAGCATTAATGATTAAACATAATAGGTTTGTGCTGAACTGATATAGACTGTTTAACATAACAAGCTGTGATTAATGTGAGGAACGTTAGGGGGTAGGATGAGATAAGACTTGTGACACACACACAGCCTCTTTGTTAGACTGCTCAAGGACATGTGTACTGCAAAAGTGCTGACTCTCTGGACAAGTTGTGGAGAAAACAACTGACACCTGGCAACAGTGAAGCGCCAAGGGGCTGGGACCAGCCTGTGCGCCAACGATAGGCTGAGTAAGTCTAAACCACGCTCAGTCTCTACTCTGATAGGCCAGCAGGGAGCGGGAACTATCTCTGTCAGAGTATTTAAAGAAGAACTTATAACAATGGACCAGTTCTCTGACTGCCCTGCATGGTTTTTCAGTGGACCCGTATATACGAACATCATATTTACCATTGAAGTGTTTTGCATTAATTAAATTACTAGTCTATTTTAGAAGACGTGTATTGACCTCTTTTTGTTCAAATACCAGATTTGAATTGACGCAACTTAACAATTGGTGACCACCGACGTGATCTGGTAGAGGGACTTCGCTGGGTATTGTCCGGCCCATTGGACATCTCTGTCATTGGACGGTGTGTTTCACAAAGAGTCCGGACTACTAAAAACAGGTAAGCAGACACCTATTGTTATATAACTAAAGTTCTGCACATTGGCTTTATCCAAATTAATTTTGTGAAACACCTGTCTGATGTAAGTGAACTAAATTATGAATTATTATACAAATTATTATGAGTAGATAAGCACCATATTGTGACATGCAAACCTGTGGTGAATGTGATGTTAAACCATGGTATTATAGAGTATTGTTCCACCGTCACATACCAGAGGGCTAGGTACGGCTAGGATCGGGTAAAATACTGAAATCCCCAGGCTAGGACCACCAGGGGTGGGAACTGTGGGATATAGGGAATCATTGGTCTAAAAGTGTTGCGCTACTGACACGTATCAGAAGGCTAGATATGGCTAGGATCAGAGGGACACTTACATTTTAGTCGACTCCAGGCTAGGATCACCAGTGGTGAGAACTGGAGGCGTAGGGAATTATTGGCTTAATAGTGTTACGCTATTGACACGTATCAGAAGGCTAGATACGGCTAGGATCAGAGGGACACTTACAATTTTAGATAGTGTTGCACTACTGACACGTATCAGAGGGCTAGATACGGCTAGGATCAGAGGGACACTTTAGAGTGTAGGGTGTTGTATGCATGAGAGTGCGAATGATCCCAGTGTAATAAAAGAGTGAATGCGGGTTATTAAAATTAATAAACCTGTATACCTTGATAGAAAACGAATTAGGAGTTAAGTCTGTGGTTGCTTAAACCGTATAACCCGTTAATAACAATTAGAATAATGAATAACTAGTATGACTAAACTGAAACGTTTGAACTGATATAACTGAACTGTAACGTTTGATGTTTGACACAGCATAATACTGGTTTTAAATAATTAAGTTGAAGCAATTTGGTTTATTATTTAATTTAACGTTTGATGTTTGACCCTGCAAAATACTGGTTAAATAATTAGACTGAAATAATTTGGTTTATCGTTGAAATATAAATATGCACCGACTTTAACTAATTAGGTGGGAATAATTTGATTTAAATAAATAGATAGACATACTTTAAATAATTAAATAACGGACAAATATTACAAATTAAAACGAAAAACAGACAAAACCTGTTCCGACTGGACACAGGAGGGAGAACCGCGAGGGGAGGGGCTGGAGACAGCGAGAGTATGGCTTTTGGAGAGTCAGGAAAGACTAAGAAGTGATTTGTGTCAATTAAGAATTGGCTAAAAACACCACGAAGCGATTATTTGAGAGGTACCTATACATTTCTAAATGTATATGTATGAACTTGCTCACCCGAACGTAGACGTACGTAATGGGTGAGAAAGTAGAGAATATGAGTTTAAGGTTATACCGTTGTTTGATCATGTGATGGGGTTTGATGGGTGATCAGACCATGACTGGTGTGGTTATGGAAGTAATGTATAAATAGTGGAGAGCCAATAGGGGGCTCCATTGAACTATTATGTTTTGTTGGGCATTTCGGTGGCATGGGGTGGGGTCTGTGTGTATGAGTGAATTCGGCGGCTGGTATGGGTGGTGACCGGATACTACTGAGTATTTTTAATGAATTTATTTGCAAATTATGGTGGAAAATAAGTATTTGGTCACCTACAAACAAGCAAGATTTCTGGCTCTCAAAGACCTGTAACTTCTTCTTTAAGAGGCTCCTCTGTCCTCCACTCGTTACCTGTATTAATGGCAGCTGTTTGAACTTGTTATCAGTATAAAAGACACCTGTCCACAACCTCAAACAGTCACACTCCAAACTCCACTATGGCCAAGACCAAAGAGCTGTCAAAGGACACCAGAAACAAAATTGTAGACCTGAACCAGGCTGGGAAGACTGAATCTGCAATAAGTAAGCAGCTTGGTTTGAAGAAATCAACTGTGGGAGCAATTATTAGGAAATGGAAGACATACAAGACCACTGATAATCTCCCTCGATCTGGGGCTCCACGCAAGATCTCACCCCGTGGGGTCAAAATGATCACAAGCACAACAAAAATCCCAGAACCACACGGGGGGACCTAGTGAATGACCTGCAGAGAGCTGGGACCAAAGTAACAAAGCCTACCATCAGTAACACACTACGCCGCCAGGGACTCAAATCCTGCAGTGCCAGACGTGTCCCCCTGCTTAAGCCAGTACATGTCCAGGCCCGTCTGAAGTTTGCTAGAGTGCATTTGGATGATCCAGAAGAGGATTGGGAGAATGTCATATGGTCAGATGAAACCAAAATAGAACTTTTTGGTAAAAACTCAACTCGTCGTGTTTGGAGGACAAAGAATGCTGAGTTGCATCCAAAGAACACCATACCTACTGTGAAGCATGGGGGTGGAAACATCATGCTTTGGGGCTGTTTTTCTGCAAAGGGACCAGGACGACTGATCCGTGTAAAGGAAAGAATGAATGGGGCCATGTATCGTGAGATTTTGAGTGAAAACCTCCTTCCATCAGCAAGGACATTGAAGATGAAACGTGGCTGGGTCTTTCAGCATGACAATGATCCCAAACACACCGCCCCGGCAACGAAGGAGTGGCTTCGTAAGAAGCATTTCAAGGTCCTGGAGTGGCCTAGCCAGTCTCCAGATCTCAACCCCATAGAAAATCTTTGGAGGGAGTTGAAAGTCCGTGTTGCCCAGCGACAGCCCCAAAACATCACTGCTCTAGAGGAGATCTGCATGGAGGAATGGGCCAAAATACCAGCAACAGTGTGTGAAAACCTTGTGAAGACTTACAGAAAACGTTTGACCTGTGTCATTGCCAACAAAGGGTATATAACAAAGTATTGAGAAACTTTTGTTATTGACCAAATACTTATTTTCCACCATAATTTGCAAATAAATTCATTAAAAATCCTACAATGTGATTTTCTGGATTTTTTTTCCTCATTTTGTCTGTCATAGTTGACGTGTACCTATGATGAAAATTACATGCCTCTCTCATCTTTTTAAGTGGGAGAACTTGCACAATTGGTGGCTGACTAAATACTTTTTTCCCCCACTGTATAGTGGTGATGACAATAGTCCAACTGACAACTTTACCAGGACTTGCCAATGTCAAGCTATTTCCAAAAGCCTAATCTGATGAAGCAACTAAATGACACATTGTTTGCTTAGCTAGCTACATGCCAATGGATAGGCTATCCTCACTAAAATTACATGATCAATTCATGTTTACTGATCATGAAAAGCACTGATGATAGAGCTAGCTAAATGTGGAATAATCAGAACTGTGTAGATCTGACTATGCTCTTCAAGAGGTGACTATATTAAAGCCAAATAGTTAGCTAGGTAGCTATAACATTTATTTAGCAATCCCTTGAAAATCGGCACGTAATTGTCAATGATTTTAGCGGAGCTGGGGGTCTCCTTGCCCCCCAGCAGCCAGATCGTATGCTCTGCACCGTATTGTAACGTTTTATTGATAATTACCTATTGCTTATACCTATCCAACCCTTTCAGATCTAAATGAAGTGCCTATGGTGTATGGGCTGAGGTAGGATTTGTAAATGTGCATCAGTGGTACCTGCTGGACAGAAGCGCTGCTCGGGCCCGTCGTAAATGGCCAGGTTGTTGGCCACAGGGATGCTGTCATCCTTCAGGGTGAGGTGGGGGGGCTGGTCCCCCTCGTGGTTGGTACCGCTCAGAGCCACAGAAGAGAGCAGGTCGAAGCTCAGCTTGCCATCGGGCTTGGGGTACTCAATGGGCGTGCACTCCTTAGCCGGTTTCAGCTGGGCCGAGTCCAAGCCTAGGGTAAAAGAGTTATCAAACCTCAGTTGGTTACAGGCCAGATAAAACAACATTGGTTTGTTCCTTGAGGCAATTCTCAGCATGAGTGCACGATTTTGTTGTGCATTTAGCAAAACTGAGTTGTTGCCTTGTCCAATAACAACTTGGCTAAAACAGAAACAGACAATTTTTCATGATGCATATGTCATACAAAACATCAATATGTTGTACCTGCATGTTTCAGTGTCCATGGCTCCTTCCCTCTAAGTATCCAGTAGAAGACACCGGTGTAGACCATGCCCCCATACAGTCCAAAGTAGTTGTGGAACGACGGCCTGATGTTCCTCACTGCGTACAGCTCTTTCCAGATCCAAGACTTCTTCAAATTGTCCTCATACTCCGGTACGTGAAGTCCTGGAGGACAAATTACCAGAAAATAAGTATAATTGTATTCGGATGACAGTAAAATGTTAGAGATTATCTTGCACCCACAAATGAAATTGCTCATTTACTTTTTGTGTATTTGATAGAATAAAATAAAATTCCATTCATGTACATATATAAATGACACACTGGAGAGAAGAAATTAGCATGTTTGTTTTCCCTATTAGCATTAGAGATAAATGACTAACAAATTACACTCTTTAATAGTGTATTCATTGCATATTTTATAGTGTAGAAATATGCCTTTACCTCACAATTAGCGAGAGGTGTGTGTGAGGGAGCATTTAAATGGAAAAGGTTTTGGTCTGGTTTAACCTACCTGCCGTTTCAGATGATGGGTCTTCGGCTGTGACTTTGGGGAAGATGGCCTCTGCGGCCAGCATGCCACTCTTCATGGCCGTGTGGGTGCCTTTGATCTTTGGTACATTCATGAAGCCCGGACTGCATCCGATAAGCATCCCCCCAGGGAATGTCACTTTAGGGAGGCACTGGATGGAGGAACAGACAGGTAAAGATTGTAATCTTGAATGTAATGGTAAAATGCTTTCACTGAATAAGAACCTGACATAAGATTAATGCATTTCCCATTTTTGATGCCGAGACACACATTGTCACCGAAGCACGCACAGAGCAGGGTTTCCATTACGAAAATGTGGCACTGGGCATTTGACAGGCAGCATTTTAAGTTATCAGACCCATATGCATTGGGTGCATAACCTGATTAGGGTTTCCATCCACGGTGCTCAGAATGACAGAAATCACATTTAGATTATTAACAGAACATGGAAGTTGAGGATGCAACGATGTGTGGTCCTTCTTACCGAATTCTGATGCACATTTTGAAGATGTTAGAATAACTGTCCACATGTACTTTTCCTCAGCCAACAAGATGAGTAAAGAACAGCAAAATCACTAGCCTATGTCAATCTACTATCCCCCATAGTAGAAAAGTTGACCTATTCTATTGGTCAGCTTTTCGAGAAAGAAACAGCCTATTCCAAACAGACTCTGGGACATTTGTGGGACGATGGATCCCAAATTCATACAACCAGTTGGCCTAGGCTACATAAAAAATAAAAAGCAATGAGATCTGAACGTTTAGCTTAAAATGTTGATAAAGTATTTTTTTTTTTTTCGATCAACGCGCACAAGGCAGTAAGGCTACGTGCGAATGTTCGTTCCATAATGCAATCAATTGGAAAACACCATTGTCAAAGTGCACCACACATGCAAGCGGTTTCATGTGACAGAGATGAAAATATCTGTTTGAAATGTTGAAAGAGGGGAGCTCTAATATGCAACAACTAGCATGGGTTGCTAATATGACTAGGATTGTGCCTTTGGCTACTGGACAATGAGAGAAAGTTGATATAAAATAATTGCCTCTACGGATATGGTCTGATTTTGGCTAGGCTACTTTGAAGCAAGGTAAGACATGCCTCATAATATGTAATAAAACGTTCAGGTTTAAGTATATGTTTTCAAAATGCATACTGCCTCCAGCTCATTGCAAAGTGGTGTGTGACGCGCTGATGAAGCCTGCCTTCCGTTGCATATGCATTTTCTGTTTGAGATGCTGTAGCAGCAGCTCTCGTGCTGTCTGACAGATTTTCCGCTCAAAGGTTCTGTATCTGTATGCTGTAGGCATGTGATAAATAAGATACATAAAACACTGTACACACGCGCCAATTTAATTCCACAGAATTATGCAAATTAACCTATAGAACGATAAGCATGACCAGTCAAATGTATTTCCATTGACTGGTATTTCCATCAATGAATAGGTTAAAAAGCATTACTTCGCAATGGGATTTTTCTTCTTCTCCCGGACAATTGGCCGGCAGCGATTTTATTTATCTGCGGAAATCCGGCTATTACCGGCTAACGGAAACCTTGGCAGAGCCGCACACACCTTTGAGTAATACATAAGTAACATACACATGACACACACACACACACACACACACACACACACCTGATAGCCTCCCTCGTTGAGGGCCCTGGCTCCGTAGGCGATTCTGTTACCTCCCTCCAGGGTCTTGGCAACGAAGGGGTGGTGCTTCCAGCGCTGGAACTCTCTGAAGGGGCTGAGGTAGGGGTTGGTGTAGTCAAGACCAACCTGGAAGTGGGGAAATACACGGCATTCCGTTTGTGCTACAATCTCTCATTGACCTCAATGTATGATCTTCATAAAAGTTTGAGTTATCACATATCCCAAGTTTTCCCTTTAGGCCCAAGTTGGCCTAATTAAGCTTCACAAGATAAGCTGAGAAGCATCCCCTTAAAAACGCCAATTAGATAAGGTAGAAGTATAGTGCATTGACATACACTGACCTCAGTTTTACAAAGGTTATTTCATTTAGAGTTTAGACCATTTCCAAGTGTTAGCATGGCTAGTAGTTTGCCTGTTGACAATGGCAAGGAGCCAAAATGGCCACCATAACCGGGACTCACCACAAAGCCCAAGGCCACCAGTGGCTCGCCCTCGTTCAGGTGGTAGAGGAAGGAGCCGCCATACGTGTTCCTGTTCAACGGCCAGCCCACCGAATGCTCCACTCTGCCCGGTCTCCACTTATTCTCATCAATCACCCACAGCTGGTTAGACAGAAAAATAACACCATTCATGTAAGTCGTTATGCATAAAGCATCTGCTAAATGACAAAAATTTAATGAATGACATTCTGATTTGACTCCATTAAGATATCTGTATTGTATGACTGATTAAAAACAGAACAGATGATTTGTTTAATTCGGTCCAAATACAAAGACACTATTTCTCAACCAATAGGAGCTTTGGAATTTTACCTCTTTCAGGCCAATGGCGTAGGTCTGTGGTTCACAGTTCTCCCTGAGGTTGAACTGCCTGTAGAGCTGCTTGGCCAAGTGGCCGTGGCAGCCCTCTCCGAACAAGGTCACCTTAGCATGGAGCTCCATCCCCCTCTCAAACACATCCTGCAGAGGCAAATGGAGAGGAGCATGTTATTCTGATACACCAGGGATGAGGCTACTTGTCGTTTTCATAAAACAAATTATATTCTATTCAGTGCTGATTCTTCCTTGTTTTTATGAAACTCAGTTTTTACAGTCAAACTCTACTGTACAAAATGACCATACCTAGGAGAAAAACATTTGTAGATTGTCCAAGGAAAATAACTTTGACATAAATCTGCATAAGATTACCTTTGGCGAACCATCCTTAGCGATGCCCACATCATTGGTGGCAATTCCTTTCACACTTCCATCTTCATGAAACAAAACCTTAAAAACAAAATCAGAAATTAAACACTTTTGAAAGTAGAATGACACAACTTTTGTAAAACATCACAGTATGGTTGAAATATATATGGCAAATAGAAATCCTATATGGATGGTGTTAAGAGATAGATGGGAGGTATTGAATAGAGTTGAAGGATGGGACTAATAACAAATAACAACAAATAATAACAAAGATAGCTAATAATGTAAGCATACTGTGTCCATAATAAGTATATAGGTTGTATGTTGGGAGCTTTTGGGAAGGAGCACAGTTAGAAAGATATGGCATTTAGAGGCAAACCGGATGGACATCATGAAGATGATCGGAGAGGTTGAGAGTAGAAGAAGTTCAGGAGAAAAAAAATAAATAGATGTGTATGTGTATATGTATATATATATATATATATATATATATATATATATATATATATATATATATATATATATGTGTGTGTGTGTGTGTATATGTATATATATATATATATATAGATATAGAATTATTGTAAAATTAACTCTGTCCATAAGGTGTAGATAGTGAGTATGGACCGGAAGTATAGGCCTGGGCGTTGTTGTTCACTAATTTACTCCAAGTAGGGAAAGATGGTGGGTTGAAAAGTAATAAGGGGACATATATATATAAACAATAAAAAAAATTGGGGGATGAATGTGCAACACATGATAGAGAGAATCTATCGCATATTAATGACGTTCCCAGAAAAAAAAACAAAAAAAAAAAAAATGAAACACTGCAAAAACGATCAATGAAAGCCGTCACTATACGTCAACAATCACAGTGAAATCGATGTCGGGCATGAAACGGAGCTGGCTCAAAATATCATTCTACAGTCGTGGGCCAAAAGTTTTGAGAATGACACAAGTATTGGTCTTCACAAAGTTCGCTGCTTCAGTGTTATGAGATCTTTTTGTCAGATGTTACTATGGTATACTGAAGTATAATTACAAGCATTCCATAAGGCTTTTATTGACAATTACATTACGTTTATGCAAAGAGTCAATATTTGCAGTGTTGACCTATCTTTTTCAAGACCTCTGCAATCCGCCCTGGCATGCTGTCAATTAACTTCTGGGCCACATTCTGACTGATGGCAGACCATTCTTGCATAATCAATGCTTGGAGTTTGTCCGAATGTGTGTTTTTGTTTGTCCACCTGCCTCTTGAGGATCGACCACAAGTTCTCAATGGGATTAAGGTCTGGGGAGTTTACTGGCCATGGACCCAAAATGTTGATGTTTTTTCCCCCCGAGCCACTTAGTTATCACTTTTGCCTTATGGCAAGGTGCTCATCATGCTGGAAAAGGCATTGGTCGTCACCAAACAGTTCTTGGATGGTTGGGAGAAGTTGCTCTCTGAGGATGTGTTGGTACCATTCTTTATTCATGGCTGTGTTCTTAGGCAAAATTGTGAGTGAGCCCAATCCCTTGGCTGAGAAGCAACCCCACACATGAATGGTCTCAGGATGCTTTCCTGTTGGCATGACACAGGACTGATGGTAGTGCTCACCTTGTCTTCTCATGACAAGGTGTTTTCCGGATGCCCCAAACAATCGGAAAAGGGGATTCATCAGAGAAAATGACTTTACCCTAGTCCTCAGCAGTCCAATCCCTGTACCATTTGCAGAATATCAGTCTGTCCCTGATGTTTTTCCTGGAGAGAAGTGGCTTCTTTCTGCCCTTCTTGACACCAGGCCATCCTCCAAAAGTCTTCGCCTCACTGTGCGTGCAGATGCACTCACACCTGCCTGCTGCCATTCCTGAGCAAGCTCTGCACTGGTGGTGCCCCGATCCCGCAGCTGAATCAGGAGACGGTCTTGGCGTTTGCTGGACTTTCTTGGGCGCCCTGACGCCTTCTTCACAACAATTGAACCTCTCCTTGAAGTTCTTGATGATCCGATAAATGGTTGATTTAGGTGCAATCTTACTAGCAGCAATATCATTGCCTGTGAAGCCCTTTTTGTGCAAAGCAATGATGACGGCACGTGTTTCCCGAGGAAAGATAAATGTACCTTGTCAATGGTAATTGTCACGCCAATATTAATAAGATGGCCTGTGTTTTCTGAAATTGTCATGAATGGTGGGCGGTGCTCACCTCAGCAGCAGCGTAGCCAGGGTATATCTCCACTCCCAGCTCCTCAGCCTGCTCTCCCAACCAATGTACAAAGTGACCCAGCCGCACAATGTAGTTCCCATGGTTGTTCATGGGCAGACCTATGGGAAAATCAAAAAATTTAATAGAATGAAAAACAAAGACTGCACAGTCAAGGCTAATACCATAATAGCTTTATGTTTAGGACAGAGCTTACAGGTGACAAGCTAGAGTTGTCATTTGAAAAGATGTCATGTAAACATGCATGTGCCTTTACCTGGCAACATTGGGACAGGGATTCTATATTTCTCGGTTAGAATGCTAAACAAATCCTCGGTCACTGGTGTATTCAAGGGTGCCTAAGAGAAGAGTACACAAATAACAGAACATCAACACTTTATTTTTAGCTTAAGTGTTGCTTGCAAGATGTTCCCTTGGGTAGTACACTAGTGTTGTCTAGGACTGTGATGTACTCTCATAGTTATGTCTGTGATGTACTGTGATAGTTATGTCTGCAGTTAGGTATGGCGGCAGGTAGCCTAGCGGTTTAAGAGCGTTGGGCCAGTAACTGAAAGGTTGCCGTTTCGAATCCCTGAGCAAACTAGGTGACAAATCTGTCGATGTGCCCTTGAGCAAGGCACTTAACCCTAATTGCTCCTGTAAGTCTCTCTTGTTAAGAGCATCTGCTAAAATTACTTAAATGTAATGTCTGAGACTGAAAAAATAAAACAAGGAATTATGCTGCATATCCCTCACAACCTTTCATAGACTAACAACCTTTCTTAGACTGACGTGCTCAATACTTCAATAATAGAGAGCAGAGTTGTGGACAATTTCATTTTAATCTCTCTCAGTGGAAAGAAACTCCTGCGGAGTGAACTCTGTGTGAAAATGCATCTTTCTTCTGAATGACATTTGAACATGTTCAACAGACCTGCTGAAGCAGCCCTCCGATGTGAGTGCATTTCATTTATAAATCTCTCTCTCAGTGGAACTAGATAGGGCACATCTCCACAGGAGTGTAATTCAATTCATGACTGTGTATGGCCCACTGACTCCAACTCTGCTATAACTAACAGAATAAAATAAGGAAAATCAAAATATTAGCACATAGATCAAAGTTTTGCAGAAATATTCAAATTTGCCCCGAGTGCATGTCACCAGTAAAGTAGGTTTGCCTGATAACCCTAAAGGCTTGCCAGCTAATTATTGATATCGCTGCCCACCTACATTACCCAAAAGAAGGAATACACACATGAGCAAGCAAGCGAGTGGAGTAGGGCTGTGTATTAATCTAATCAACTATATCTGATGCTTTAAGCTCACTGTTTGACGAAATAATTAAGACACACAAACGACTAGAGGGCTTCTGACCACAATTGATTTGATTGTGCGGGCCGGGCTTGGACTTGCTTTGCAGTGTAAAAAAAACAAAAAAAAAAAAGACAGCGAGTGATTGTGTGACTAGCACCCGTTGTCTCCCTCTCATCCCTGCTGCAGCAACCACCACAGAACATCAGTGTTTATCACGCTGTCCGTCTTGATGACGCTGCAACATAATTACAGCCATTTCTGACTGAAAAGTTCTGTTACCGAAATCCCTCATTTGTTAAGGACAAATATTCCCTATAACCTTAACCCTTGCTCTCTTTACGTGACACATGTATGCATCACATGCACTTGACCAATAGGGCCTGACGTATAGCATATCATAATCACATCAATAAATTGGTTATAACAAACTCTGAACACAGTAACACGTGACAGCAAAATGGATGCAGAGGACATGACAAACTCGAAATGGGGGAATGTTTGTTTACTGGTTGCTCAGGAGGTAAAGGGGAAGTCAGATGTGTGGAATACATTTGACTAGTTGTGGAAAATACTGGAGATCAAGAAAAAGAAGTTAAGGAGCAAGCACTGCGTGTGTGCCAAACAGGTGCTGTTAGATTATAATATAATTTTTCTGACCGTTTAGAACAATGTCAACACTAAATAAATGATAAGCGTACCAGAGAGTCTGTTGTAACATTTTTTTGTTGTTGTTGTAAAGGCTTTATTACAGCAAAGACTAAACGCAAGCATTCGTGAATGCAATTGCCAAAATGGAACGGTTTATTTATTGTTTACAGCTAATTATTCAAAATAAATGTTATTTTCAAACTAAAATGCTTGATTGAATTTAAAATCATGAATGACTCGTATGCTGTGTGATGACTTGAATGAATGAATGATTGATTCATACAGTAGCCTAAGTATTGAAATATAGGCCTAAGTAAGTTACGGTATTAGGACTAAACAGGATGCGCTCTTAGGCCTACAGCTCGATCGATGGTGGTTATACAAGGCTGCTATAATAAGTCTACTAATGATAATGACATTACTTAGTGTTATAATGATGACAATAATAATAAGAAGAAGAAGAAGAAGAAGAAGAAGAAGAAGAAGAAATTTTTCCTGTTTGGAACAGTGTAAACACTAAATAAATTATAAGTAATACCAGAGAGGTAGTTCTAATGAAACAAAAGTGTAAAGCCTTTATTACAGCATTGCAAAGATGAAAATCAGCCAAATCTGTGAAATTGTTTATCCGACATGTGGTTGCGTGAGGCTTGGTGCTCACGGAATCAGTAGGCTATTAAACAAACACTCAAACAGGCAATAGAAGCAGGATCTGTCTTATTTCTGTAGATATTCAGTGCATTCGGAAAGTATTCAGACCCCTTGACTTTTTCCACATTTTGTTAAGTTACAGATTTATTCTAAAATTGATCCCCCCCCCCCAAAAAAAGTATCCTCAATCTACACACAATACCCCATAATGACAAAGCGAAAAAAACTAAACAGAAATACCTTATTTACATAAGTATTCAGTATCTTCCTTGAGATGTTTCTGCAACTTGATTGGAGTCCACCTGTGGTAAATTCAATTGACTGGACATGATTTGGAAAGGCACACACCTGTCTATATAAAGGTCCACAGTTGACAGTGCACGTCAGAGCATAAACCAAGCCATGAGGTCAAAGGAATTGTCCGTAGAGCTCCGAGACAGGATTGTGTCGAGGCACAGATCTGGGGAAAAGTACCAAAACATTTCTGCAGCATTGAAGGTCCTCAAGAACACAGTGGCCTCCATCATTTTTAAATGGAAGAAGTTTGGAACCACCAAGACTCTTCCTAGAGCTGGCCGTCTGGCCAAACTGAGCAATCGGGGGAGAAGGCCCTTGGTCAGGGAGGTGACCAAGAACCCGATGGTCACTCTAACAGAGTTCCTCTGTGGAGATGGGAGAACCTTCCTGAAGGACAACCATCTCTGCAGCACTCCACCAATCAGGCCTTTATGGTAGAGTGGCCAGACGGAAGCTACTCCTCAGTAAAAAAAAGGCACATGACAGCCCGCTTGAATTTTGCCAAAAGGCACCTAAAGACTCTCAGACCATGAGAAACAAGATCCTCTGGTATGATGAAAGCTAGATTGAACTCTTTGGCCTGAATGCCAAGCGTCACGTCTGGAAGAAACCTGGCACCATTGCTACGGTGAAGCATGGTGGTGGCAGCATCATGCTGTGGGGATGTTTTTCAGTGGCAGGGACTGGGAGACTAGTCAGGATCGAGGGAAAGATTAACGGAGCAAAAGTACAGAGAGCAACTACCTGTAAACTTCATAATGAACGCAATCTTCTTTATCTCCTAATGTATTGCACAAGTTGACTGCAGGTATTTACTTTAGAAATTGCTACAAATATTCACATGTATAAATAAATGTAAAATAAATCGTTTCAACGGTATTGAAAAACCATTGCGTGGTATACCGCCCAAGCCTAACAGATACAGTTGAAGCTAGAGACAGATAGCCTATAGACCCTATACACACACACTTGACTCCACACAGAGACAGATGAGATGACACTAACATACCCCTCTCTCCTTCCAGTCTGGGAAGAGTTCGTTGAGGGCGCTTGGCTCCAGGCAGGCCCCGGAGAGGGTGTGTGCTCCGATCTGAGACGCTTTCTCCACTAGACACACGCGCAGCTCCTTCTCCTGCTCTTTGGCCAGCTGCTTCAGCCGGATGGCTGCCGACAGCCCCGCGGGACCCCCTCCCACTATCACCACATCAGCCTCGTCGGCAAACCGCTCCATCTCCACACCTGCACAGAGACAAAAACGCCACACACAAATAGGTATGTGTCACCAACTGGGTTTGGAACCTCGGTCGTCTGAGCGGCACAATAATGTGTTAGCCCACTGAGCTACAGCCTAGTCATTATCTTGGGGGAGATCGCGCAAGTCTTCAGGTCTCGGGCAAGGTTACACAAGCCTCCGTGAAGACAAACTGGAATATTAGTATGTAGTACTATCTAAAATGTCAAAAGTGGAAACTTGTAGTTTTGACATCAGCGTTAACTTGCAACAGCATCCCATAGATGCACATTTAAGGACAAATAGTGTTTTCCACAAGCACATGAGTAGCCAGCCAAATAGAAAAAGTTGACAGACAATATCCCCCAGGATTGCCGAACAAGCTCTATTGCCGTGGCCTCTGGTACATTCTAATGCCTTAATTCCGTCTGAAATACACAGCGAAATTATTGTAAACTTTATTGAGTTTACCTCCCTGATTGGACAAATTAGTTGTGGTATTGTATTTACAATTTAAATTACTGAAAATGTATGAATTCAGTGTATTGTTCGTTTATATAAATATATTATATGCCTAAAAGATCAGGACTATTTATTAAGTAAGAGAACATTAAACTTTTATTTCATTTTTACATTTAACCTGTCTTCGAGATTACAGTATTTTACTGCAAGATATGAATTGAATTTTTGTTCTTCAAATTATGTTTTTTATCAAAACAGAATTTGGGTTATTTACTTAATTTCTTTAAAAATAAATAAATCAAAAAGGTTCAATTTAAAAATCAAACAAATTGTGTGATGGGCACTTTTTGAAATGGGTCTCTAAAATAAACGGGTAGGTACTCAATTAAGTTCTGGGTCCATACGTGTTAAGAGAAGAGATAGAACGACATCAGTTCAATTAGTGAAATAATTTCAACAAGTGTTTGCAACTCTTTGAATTTATGTCATTTATTCAAAAAAAATACTTGTTTAACAACTTCTTCTTAAAGAATCTTGTAAGAGTCTGCCGACTTCCAAAGGCTTCAAGCTTCCTTTTAAGAGGCATTTTCTCTGCTATCTTCAATAAAGGTATGACTGAAGAATGAAGCAGATGTTGATCATGGGCTTTGCTACGTTGAAAGAAGCACTTGACTACTCCATTGTCAACACTTGGATTAAATCAGTAGACCTACAGTGCCTTCGGAAAGTATTCAGACCCCTTGACCTTTTTCCACATTTTGTTACGTTACAGCCTTATTCTAAAATTGATTAAATAAATAAAAATCCTCAGCAATCTACACACAATACCCCATAATGACATAGCAAAAAACAGGTTTAGAAATGTTTGCTATAAAATTAATAAATGAAATACCTTATTTACAGAAGTATTCAGACCTTTTGCTATGAGACTCGAAATTGAGCTCAGGTGCATCCCGTTTCCATTGATCATCCTTGAGAAGTTTCTACAACTTGATTGGAGTACAACTGTGGTAAATTAAATTGATTGGACATGATTTGGAAAAGCACGCACCTGTCTAGATAAGGTCCTACAGTTGACAGTGCATGTCAGAGCAAAAATCAAGCCATGAGGTTTTCCGTAGAGCTCCGAGACAGGATTGGGTCGAGGCACAGATCTGGGGAAGGGTACCAAAAAATGTCTGCAGCATTGAAGGTCCCCAAAAACACAGTGGCCTCCATCATTCTTAAATGGAAGAAGTTGGGAACCACCAAGACTCTTCGTAGAGCTGGCCGTCCGGCCAACCTGAGCAATCGGGGGAGAAGGGCCTTGGTCAGGGAGGTGACCAAGAACTTCATAGTTCCTCTGTGGAGATGGGAGAAGATTCCAGAAGGACAACCATCTCTGCAGCACTCCACCAATCAGGCCTTTATGGTAGAGTGGCCAGACGGAAGCTACTCCTCAGTAAAAGGCACGACAGCCCGCTTGGAGTTTGACAAATGGGAACCTAAAGGACTCTCAGACCATGAGAAACAAGATTCTCTGGTCTGATGAAAGGAAGATTGAGCACTCACTTTAACTTCACTGTCTAGCAAGTCCCGATGGGCTTCATATCGAAAATACAAACTAGATATTTAGTTTACTTGTCCCGATGTGATACCATGGGCATATAATCACTACGTTGTATGATTTATGAATGACAAGGATACTGTATACGAGATCAATTTCATTCAGTCAGTTCGACAGCATGTATAAACTAGTCAAGCTTGCTGTTCGTCAATCAAATCACAGTAAGCCTATGTGCCAGCACTTCGTGGCTGCATATGTAACACGCTAAAGAAAATATATTATTTTACCAGAAAACAATAGGCTAAATGGATTTCAACTCATCGTTACCACATTATATGGGACATGCAAATTGACTCACATAGATGAAGGAGCATCATGCTCCTCCGGGTAAAGACATTTGACTTCAACCACAGCGTACACAACACACACACACAGGTACCGGGAAGTGGGACAGACAGCAGACTTAAACCAGCAGTGACTCCTGAGTGGCGCAGTGGTCTAAGGTAAGTCCAAGGTAGGGGAGGGTTTGGCCGGCAGGGATGTGGGTTTGTTTCCCACGGGGGGCCAGTATGGACAAAAAAACAAAAAACAAAAAAACAACGTATGCATTTACTGTAAGTCGCTCTGGATAAGAGTGTCTGCTAAATGACTAAAATGTAAATGTTTCCCTGTCATCGCTCACTTTGTGACTGACAGGCGCCTGTCCTATGAATAGATCGCTATTAGATGCATATCGTTCATTCTAGCGGGAGAGGGCTCGGCTGACTTTTTTTCTGACTTGAGAATTGAAAAGTAGCCTAGCTAATTCATATCGTTCATTCTAGCGGGAGAGGGCTCAGCTGACTTTTATTCTGACTTACGAATTGTAAAAAAGTACCCGGCTGAAAAGGAGTGCGTAACCACTAGAGGAAAACACTGCACATATGTTTGTTTTAGGAAGACAAACCTAATATATTCCCCGCCACTCACATGAGATGAGTTCAAATGTTATCAGCATTGGTATAAGGTGAGAAAAACAAAGGTGTTTGGGTCTTGCATAATATAACACATTCCATTTCAGACAGTGTGCCAAGGGTGAGGAGGATTACACAGTACCTTCCCATCGTGGGTCTTTATCCCTGGGACAGATTGTGTAGTGTGATGTTATGCGAGGCATCACTGCAGACGAGCAATTCCGTCTCCATGTGTAGAGCTGTGGAGGTGCATGTTCCGCTTGCACTGTTTTCAATGCTCGTATACACCTATGGGCTGCAAAAAAACAAGGCATATCCAGTCAGTGCCAACTGGGACTGACGAGGAAGCTGATAAGGTTAGGTCCTACTGTATAGCTTCAGAGTGTGTACACAAGTTACCTTATGTACAGTACTAACAATCACATAGTTAAAAGTACACTCATGGTGGCCTGGGTAATTCATGTCACTGGTTATGATGGATCACAACTGAAGGAGAGAAATAACAAGATATTACTTTGTTTACAGCTATCTTGATGACTCAAGTGGGGTCATACAGCAGAACTGTTACACTGTATAATACATTGCAACTGAATGTGTCACTATTCTTCTGCGTAGCAGCCTTATGAGATTTTTATGGGCGTGTATGCAGCAGTGGAGGTTTATCACAGGGGGAAGGGGAGGACCATCCTACTCAGCGAATTTCATAAAAATAGTGATTTAAAAAAAAATATATATATAATTTTTTAGATAAAACTATAGTAAATTATTCATGTCACCAAATAACTGATTAAAACACACTGTTTGGCAATTAAGGTCTACAGTAGCCTCACCCGCCTCTAGGGTAGCACCATGGTGTAGCCGGTGGACAGCTATTTTTCATCGTCCACTGGGTACATTGACTTCAATACAAAACCAAGGAGGCTCATGGTTCGCACCCCTTTTCATAGACATACACAGTAATTATAACGACTTCCGGAGGACGTCCTCCAACCTATTAGAGCTATTGCAGTATGAACTGACATGTTGTCAATCCAATCAAAGGATCAGATAATTAATCTAGTACTGAAAGCATAAGCTACAGCTAGCTAGCACTGCATATAGTGTGGTGAGTAGTTGACTCAAAGAGAGAGAAAGACAATAGCTGAACAGTTTTGAACAAATTAATTTATTCAAAAATTAAGGAGAAGCAGCAGAGAGAGAGAGATAGCTACATTGTTGTATTTTTTCTCTTAGTTTACCTTTCACTTACTTAGCTAATGCAGCTAATTTAGCCTACTCAACAACCTGGCTGAAAAAGAGAGGAATGCTATTTACGTTGGCTAGCAGGCTAAGGCTATCCAACACTGCAACTCTTCCAAGTTAAGCTAAGCTTTCGGTTTTATTAATTTATTGCCACTGGGGCCCGCCAGTGTAACTGCTAAACTGCTTGCTGTACACTGTACTGCGTGATTGTACAGATGGATTGTGGGTTTACTAACGCGTTAAGTTCTAGTTTGTTGACTATAACGTTAATATGGTAACATCGATGTAGGCTATGTAGTGGTTATGGTATGAAGGTTTGGCTTGGAGAGTTTTTTTGCACCTGGTCACAGACAGCTATTGTGTTGTGCACTGAAGTCCACAAGCGAAGGGAAAAGGTGAGAGGAGAAGAGCGCGTATATGTGAGGAAGGAATTCAACAACAAGCAAAGTGTTGTTGATGCATGCTGTATGTGGCTGCTATGAAAGTGAACTGTGTGTGTGGGTGATCGGGGGGTATTCATTCCGCCGATTCTGTTGCAAAATGTTTCTTAAACGGAATGAAACGGGGAGGGACCTACCTGAATTTGTCCAATAGAAACTCTCGTTTTGGACTAATTACACCCCAGATCAGCTAGATGCAGGCAAGAGTGTGCAAGGTCGGTATTGAATGTGTCACTATGTCACCTTGATTACTCCAATTTGTCTCTCGACCTGTGCACCTACATTATGAACTTTCATTTGTAGGCTGGGTTGTAGCAACCTCATGATGGGTATAGGGCAAATTCTAGTATCACATAGAAGCGTATATCCATCTATGTTAGATTGAGCTGGGTGAATGGTACAGTATATGAATGACAGTCATCCAATATGCTGTAATAGAAATAAGGCCATATACTTGTTTCTTTGTGTTTTCTTTGTCCTCCCTAATCTTGAACGGCACCAACCGCCACTGGTGTGCAATTGTCAATAGGCATGTAAACCAAGTCTATTTAAGTAATGAGATTGTCAGCAAAAGAGTACTGGTATCAGCCAGTTAAGTTATCTATAGCTGTCAACAAATATGGCTAGCTTTCCGAGACAAATGATTCATGCCTTGGCTTGTCAGCAGTTTGACGTCACAACTGTCAATATTGACACTCACTGTCAAGCTAGCTAGCTAGTTAGCAAGCCAATTACTTTTAAAAGTGCATTGCTATTGATATTAATTTCGTTCAATATTAGTTCAAAACGCACACTGAAAGAGTGAATGTACCAATGTATTTTAGTTTTGCACCTACTAAAATAACATTGGCTGACCAAAAGACTCGTTAATGTGACCTATATTAAATTTGATTTCGACTTTGCCCTATATTTAGCTTAGCTACCTAGCTAGCTAACTAGCTTAGCAAACTGGGCAACGACGGTGCCAGACTGGAGCTAGCGTTTCAAGATTCCACAAAGCTAATGTCAACCATCTTTACTAAGAAAATCTTAGTCCATGCCACTCTCAAATTATAGATACCTTTGATAACTATCATTGACAAATTATGGGGACCAATACGTGTCAAAATGCGAGACAGAGAACATATGGAAATTGACAGGCGTGTGAATAACTGGCTAGCTAACTTACCTTGAATTGAATATCTGCTAGCTGGAAACATCGTATGAATTGCTGCTAGTGCTAGGTCACCAGCTAGCAGCAGTCCTCTAGGTATCGGCAAAGGGCTCTCGCAGCTCAGCCACCCCAATGATCATGCAAGTCTGTTTGGACAACAAAATTCGTCTCATAACATACCATTGAAGTTGTCGGTAACTCAAAATAGGCGGTACCTGGGTAAATGTAGATCTCACACTGACTGGATAGATGTCGCCAGCTTGTAGTCCTTGTAAACCTCTGTTTCGTTCAGCCATTCCTATGGGGAAAATTAATTTGAAAGAATAGAGTTTTGGGATAAACCGCGAAAATAAGGTCTGAGGTTAACACAGGCTTCGGAGATCTTGTACGTTTTGTTTTATGAGATAATATCAGTAAGTAAACATGACCTTTATGAATTATGAAGCCTTAATGTACTTTTTCAAAATTACATAAATGCTTCAAAATTCACAAAAAGTGACGTTAGCTGATGAAGATTATCTCATAGAACAAAACGTATAAGATCTCCTAAGCCTATGTTTACCACATACCTTATTTTCAGCGTTTATCCAAAAACTCCATTAATTTCCCCGTAGGCTTTGGCCAAGAAGCCATGGCTGAGTTAGTGCCTACAAAAATATGCCATTACTATTGCTTTCTATAGAGCCCCACAGTGGACACATCATAATACCCATAAAACCTTGCGGTCAAACACAGAAATGGTTCCAATCGTCTTTCCACCATTCATTTTTCAAATAGTGAATTTTACAAGCACTTCAAATTAAGTATGTGTTTGGTGTAGGCTTACCTTGGTGTGACGTTTTGATAACCGTGTTATTCTCTCTTGGACAAGGTGAGTTTTATCAATATTTTTGCCTCAATTTACTCTGAACATTTTGAAATGCTAATTAGCAACAGAGAAAACCGCAGCAAGACAAAAAATTCCTGCAGGAAGTTCCTGCACGTCATCTCTAGCCAACACTGTCAGCTACCGTTCACCAACGTGATCAGAGACCTGTGCCCAATCCATGAGCTGTATTAAAATGAACTGAATAAAGTGTTGAACTTCTTCCATCCCCTTTCTCTGTCTTCGCTTGCCACTGACCACACTTTAGCTAAATAGTTAGCAGAGCAGTAGATCAAAAAATCAGCCAAGATAAGTGTTTGTACAGTATGTCGACTTTGGTGTCTAGTTCAGACCTTATGGCATTTTTCAAGGATGAACATAAGAGCATTAAAAGGGGAGAACACCACTACAAGTCTGGCCATGTGGAGAAGAGCAGCTATAGTGAGGGGCAACTTACTGGTTTGGTCAGGGCCAGCATGAGGGATAAAGTTTATCCTGTGTCAGTGAGTGTATCTAAGTTAAGTTTGAGCATATTAGCAATACAATGTGTTCTATACAGCTGTCAACATTCTACAAGGAAAGAGCCACTTAATCAACTATATAATCATTAACCAGATTACCCTGGATACCAGATGTAGATGAGTGATAACTCAGTTCTAGAATGTTGTCAATGATGAGAATGAATCTAAAAATCTGTTGGCATTCAGAATTGACTTTGTTTAGACATCCAGCCTGTATTGTAGTTGCATGACAAATCTTCAAAGGCACAGTATTTATTTATTCACACAGTCTTGATTTATAGGATCCTTCCCACTATACGATTTATATGCCAAGTGATAAAATCCCAAGTTATCAATTAAAAGTTTAGGGAAAAACTGCACTTATCCTCGTGAAAATTACAGTTTATTAAATATTCTACAGCTGCAATGTTATCAATCAAATCAAACTTTATTTAAATATCACATTTCTTACAACAAATGCATCTCAATGTGTTCAAAGTCATGCATTGAAAGACATGTGGCACTTAACATCATTCCTCTTGGCAGGTGTCTATATGTGACCAGGAGATTCTCTCTACCACATGCAAATGCCTCCGTGGAGCTCATAAGTGTAGCCATGCAGCCTATTTTGGCAGTTCACAATATCGGCCGTACGGATGTGGAAGGCCACTGGAGGAAGCCAGCCGTGCCCAACCAGGTGCAGTTAGTGGAGGACCTGTACCCGGCCAAAGACTACAACCCTCTGTCCCGAGATCCAACAGAGGAGGATCTTCAATGGCTAAGGAACCGTATCCGGGGCAGGTTCAGTGGAATGTCATGTCTCATTGAACCTGAGCCAGAACATTCGCTACCCTTCCTGCCATCCCTGTTTGTACCGGACATTGTTAAAAAACAAGGGCGCACCAACCCCAACTGGCACACCATGAGGAGAAGGGAGGTTGACGGCCAGCAATTATGGAGCAGTGGTTAGGGCCAGCAATTATGGAGCAGTGGTTAGGGCCAAGCGCATTACTCCATCGCTGCTAAAAAGGGTCCTCAGATCACAGTCATTGGATGGGGTGTTGTCTGTAAAGTGGGGCACAGATAACGAAGAGGAGGGCCTCAAGTCATTCAAAATGGCTACAGGGATGGATCTGTAGGAGTCAGGGCTTTGGGTCACAGAGTCTGGGATCCTGGGTGCCTCACCAGATGGTCTGGTGGGCACCACAGCAGTGGTGGAAGTCAAGTGTCCCTATGGTGCAAGGGACTTTACCATTGAAGAGGCAGTGAAGTTGAAGGATTTCTATATCAAGGAGGTAGGGTCTTACCGCCTCCGTAAAGACCATCCTTACTGGCACCAGGTCCAAGGTCAGCTCCACATCACTGGAAGGGACACCTACTTCTTTGTGGTGTGGACCACCAAAGCCTCCATCACCATCCCCATCCAGCAACCTCTGACAGACTCCTATTGCTCCTCCTGTCCTCCTGTCAGTACCTGTGGTCCAAATGGTCCAAAAATATTGCACATAGTTCATACACACACACTAGGCTCCCAGAATAGGTTATACTACATACAAATACAAGTAATGTGGTTAACTTTATCATGGGCACAGTGGGAATGTATATCTGTGGTTCAGATTATTTCTTACCCCCTGTGTCTTACTTGCTGAAGGCCCCAGTCATCTCTGCCTGTACCTGACATTGTTGAAAAACAAGTGAACAATGAATAAAGATCATACACAAACAATAGGTTATTAGAAAAGGTTATATAACATTCAAGTTTTGCTCAAAGCAGCCAACCAAAGTAATATAGTTAACGTAAGTTCAATCACAGGCTGGTCTGAGTGCATCTCCTCACAGTTTCATTCAGTAGTACAACACAATTTACATTTCATTTTATCATGGGCACAGTGCGAATTTATATCTGTGATGTTTAAATTATGTCTTACCCCCAGAGTGAGAGAGAACATCACTTCCAGCAGATCTCCTTGCTGAGGATGGCGTTGATCATGCACTGCTTCTCGTGGGGTGAGCTTGATGGGACTCTAACCCGGACGCTTATAAGAAATGTCCGCTATGCCCTCTGACGAACCATCAAACAGGCAAAGAGTCAATACAGGGCTAAGATTGAATCGTACTACACTGGCTCTGACGCTCGTCGGATGTGGCAGGGCTTGAAAACTATTACAGACTACAAAGGGAAGCACAGCCGCGAGCTGCCCAGTGACACAAGCCTACCAGACGAGCTAAACCACTTCTATGCTCGCTTCGAGGCAAGCAACACTGAAGCATGCATGAGAGCACCAGCTGTTCCAGATGACTATGTGATCACGCTCTCCGTAGCCGATGTGAGTAAGACTTTTAAGCAGGTCAACATTCACAAGGCCGCAGGGCCAGACGGATTACCAGGACGTGTACTCCGAGCATGTGCTGACCAACTGGCAAGTGTCTTCACTGACATTTTCAACATGTCCCTGACTGAGTCTGTAATACCAACATGTTTCAAGCAGACCACCATAGTCCCCGTGCCCAAGGACTCTAAGATAACCTGCCTAAATGACTACCGACCCGTAGCACTGACGTCTGTAGCCATGAAGTGCTTTGAAAGGCTGGTCATGGCTCACATCAACAGCATTATCCCAGAAACCCTAGACCCACTCCAATTTGCATACCGCCCCAACAGATCCACAGATGATGCAATCTCTATTGCACTCCACACTGCCCTTTTCCACCTGGACAAGAGGAACATCTACGTGAGAATGCTATTCATTGACTACAGCTCAGCATTCAACACCATAGTGCCCTCTAAGCTCATCACTAAGCTAAGGATCCTGGGACTAAACACCTCCCTCTGCAACTGGATCCTGGACTTCCTGACGGGCCGCCCCCAGGTGGTAAGGGTAGGTAACAACACATCTGCCACACTGATCCTCAACACGGGGGCCCCTCAGGGGTACGTGCTCAGTCCCCTCCTGTACTCTCTGTTCACCCATGACTGCATGGCCAGGCACGACTCCAACACCATCATTAAGTTTGCCGACGACACAACAGTGGTAGGCCTGATCACCGACAACGATGAGACATCCTATAGGGAGGAGGTCAGAGACCTGGCCGTGTGGTGCCAGGACAACAACCTCTCCCTCAACGTGACCAAGACAAAGGTGATGATTGTGGACTACAGGAAAAAAAAGAGGACTGAGCACGCCCCCATTCTCATCGACGGGGCTGTAGTGGAACAGGTTGAGAGCTTCAAGTTCCTTGGTGTCCACATCACCAACGAACTATCATGGTCCAAACACACCAAGACAGTCGTGAAGAGGGCACGACAAAGCCTATTCCCCCTCAGGAGACTGAAAAGATTTGGCATGGGTCCTCAGATCCTCAAAAGATTCTACAGCTGCACCATCGAGAGCATCCTGACTGGTTGCATCACCGCCTGGTATGGCAACTGCTTGGCCTCCGACCGCAAGGCACTACAGAGGGTAGTGCGTACGGCCCAGTACATCACTGGGGCCAAGCTTCCTGCCATCCAGGACCTCTATACCAGGTGGTGTCAGAGGAAGGCCCTCAAAATTGTCAAAGACTCCAGCCACCCTAGTCATAGACTGTTCTCCCTGCTACCGCACGGCAAGCGGTACCGGAGTGCCAAGTCTAGGTCCAAAAGACTTCTCAACAGCTTCTACCCCCAAGCCATAAGACTCCTGAACAGCTAATCATGGCTACCCAGACTATTTGCACTGCCCCCCCACCCCATCCTTTTTACGCTGCTGCTACTCTGTTAATTATTTATGCATAGTCACTTTAACTCTACCCACATGTACATATTACTTCAACTATCTCAACTAGCCGGTGCCCCCACACATTGACTCTGCACCGGTACCCCCCTGTATATATA